CCGACTACCACTCTTCTCCGGCGATTGTTCCGATGACCATTCCAGCGACTGCTCCAATCCGGCTATTATTCCGACGACTATTCCGGTCACAGATTTATAACTTACGGTCACAGCTTAAAGTTTTTGCAGGTCACAATTAATTCGTTGGTCACAGATTTCAAAATTAGTTGGTCACATATCAAAATTTATAGATCATACGGTCACATATTTCCAAATTAATTNTGGTCACACACACCAAATATTGGGTCACATCCAGGGTCACATGCACCAAATATTGGGTCACATACTACCGCCACCGCCACTTGCGACCACCTCAATCTGCGACCGTCGCCAGCACCGCAACACTACCACCACAGTCACCATCACCACAGTCAACCTCCACTGCCACTGTCACAATTGACCGCCACTACCACATCCCAAGTAGAGTCACTACCATCACCGGCATCTCACTACCGCAGCACCTAATCACCACTACCGACAACATGAACCGTGGTATAGATCATCGAATCGGCAAAAATTTCAGATTGCCTGAACCCGCCACAAACCGAACCCAAACTCACCATTTCATATCCTAGTCATTACAGGAGTGGCGACTACACACAAAACCAACATCTCCGAACCCACCATCACTACCTAATCACCAGTGCCGCTCCCACCGTCTATCTGAGAGCACAGCAGTGGCGAAGAGAGAGAAGCTGCACAGATCAGCTTTGAGAGAGAAGTCGAACACATCGACATTGCTTCGCCCATCACTTACAGCAATGAGCACCACTGCGTCTGCTGGTGTTGCTGTAGCTTGCAGCAGTCGAATAAGGGTTTCAGTCCGATGAGCAGTGAGCACTACTGTGCAGCTTTTAGGGTTTGAGAGTCGACGGAAGAGAGTGAAAGAGGGAGATGAGAGTGTATTTGATTTTTAGGGTTTGAGGGTGAAATTTATATATATAATATTTAAAATATCAAATACCTGATTTTTGAACAATAAAACTTTGACCTTGATTTTTGAACATGGAACTTGAAAGGTAGGGTTCCATGTAATTTCCTCTAACAAAAAAGGGAGCCTTGCTTCGGTTAGCAGCGAAGGCGAAGGTTTCGGTTGAAGCTGTGGGTTGATGTAGCTCCATAAGTGTCTCAAAGCTGAGAAGCTCTGCTTGGAAATCCTCCAGGCTAAAATCCTTTTCATCGGTGGTGAAGTTGAAAGTGGTGATGAACGGAGCAAATATGGGTTTCAGGCCACTCAAGAGGTATGTGATGATGTCCTGCTCGTCGACAGGTTTCAGTCAGCCGACAGTTGATCTGACAGAACCTTGCTTCTTCAATATACGCTAGACAGGTGTGGTTACCTTGGGAAATTGTCTGAATTTGTCACTTCAGGTGGGCAATTCGGGAGTGGGACGTAGAAGAGAAGCAGGTTTGCAGAGAATCCCAAACCTGCTTCGCAGTCTCAAAATTGAGAACGGAGAATACCAATTTTTCGGAGAGTGCGGCATAGAGCCAACAGAGAACGACGATGTCTGAGTTGGACCATTTGTCATAAGCTGGGTTAGCGACGTTATTAGGTAGAGTCTTGGGGGGAGCGTGGATAGAACCGTCCACCATGCCAAGCTTTCCATGGCTCTTTAAGAAAGACAGAAATTGGATTCTCCAAGTGAGATAGTTGGGTCCATCAAGTTTGGGAAATTGTGGTGTATTTATTTTTGAAGGGGCCATTGGAAATTAGGAATAATAGTGCGGATTGCGGAAGCTGTTTTTGCAGGATCAGATCAGGCGTGAGCTTTATTACTCTAATACCATGTAAGAATAATTGTGATGGGTGATTTGAATGGAAGAGCCAACTTACCTCTTCTATGTATTTCATTTGCTTTAAATAACAAAGTTGAACATACAGTTTATGGAATCCAATGTAGTTATAGAATGTACAGTTGTTATGATTGATAGAATTGATGAGAAATCAATGGGATGCTGAGTAGATGTAGAATCACATTGGAGATAATTGTGGATCAGGTGCTGTTATGGAAAGACCAGTGTTGCATGGAGGAGATTGAGGATTGTGATTGCTTGGTTTAAGAGATATTACGAGGGCATAGAGCATCAGAATGCAATATACAACAGAGATTTGTATGAGTTATTGTTGTTAAATGCAATATCCTAGGGCCCTACTAACCTGAAAATGATTGAATCTCCTATCACCACCAACCATTTGATGGTGAAGTCCAAACCCATTTTCCAAATGAGGCCTCTTTCTTCCTCTACATGAAATATATCCAACCAAGAGAATTGTGTAAACCTCCTGAAACCCTTTGAGTCTCAACCTCACCTGTCGACTCGCTTTCTTTCCATAGGAAATCAACTTGCTTCCCAATACAAACAAGAAAAGAACTAAAGAATCATATTATAGCAAATAAATTGTACCATTTTCAACATTGGTATAGAGCACTGTAGGAAAATATGGGACTTTGAAAAAGGGTTTCAATTTCAGATAAATAGCTAAGATGAACATGGTTGCTTGTTATTGTTATTATTGTTGTTTCTATGTTGTGTTCCTTAAGTTTTTAGGCAAGAGTAGTTCGAGTTCTGTTGCGTGATAGCCTAATAGGCTACTATATGTGAGTTATAGTTAAGGTTGTTAGGAAGTTACTTAACCTACCTATCGAAATTTAAATAATATTTCAATTTTCACCAAAGATTTATTTTATGTTTAGAAAGAAACTGTGATAAAAATTATACATTTAGTTCATTCTGCGAAGAACAATTTTGATCTGCAATCCATAGTTTTCTAATTGTTCTACCTCCAATAGAAATCCACTGAGAAGAAGAATGAGTGAATTATTAATTCTTTTTTACTTGTGCTAGTAAGCTAATAATTGTGTTATGTGTTTTTCAACTCTAATAACTTATTAATAGAAGTTCAAGTAAGCTTGGCCCGTCACTTAAACTCAATCTAGTCCAGTGTTTAATTAATAAACTTGATCAATAAATTAATTAATCCAAATAATTAACTTAAGCTCATTAACATGCAACTAAATTAATTAATTATATAAATGTCCAATACTTATTAATTAATTAGTGACATCGTTTTTTCTGATTTTCTTTTTTTGTGTGTGTGACCCATTAGGTGCCGTTCACAATGCCTAACAATTTTAATTTATAATTAATCCACCTAAATTAAGTAATTCAAACTCATCGTCCCAGATTTACATCTAATAATGTGTCGGTGATACATGTGATGAAAAATGTCACGTGGTATGGCAAAATCAAACTTGTTCTTTTATTGTCTCATCAATGTGATCCGATCAATTACGAGATATAGATATGCGTCACCTCGATTATTGATCATATCTTTCATCTCACTCTTAAACCAATATTCGTCGAAATCTCTTTTTAATTTATAAACACATCTTGACCAATAATTTTGTTATCAGCTTAATTAAATGAAAATGTAGATCATAATCTTTTATTATTTAAGAGTGACAAATCTTCTATTGATTATTCATAACTTTCGTATGATTCTTGACATGTCGTATTAACGACTCTTGGCAGAGCAACATTTAATACTACCAAAGAATGATGACATCAAGTCAAATAACCAATTTCTCTACTAAATGTTAGAAATTAACCACTGATACTCAGATGAGTATCAATGTAAAATCTCTTTCCAGTGGGTCTCCAATGCTTCACGTATTCATTTAAATGGCACCGCATTTTAACTTGTGAGATCGGCTACTCACTTCACAAGTTAAAAATGCTACACATGATGGTCCATTCATAATAACGATATTCATAACTTGTTATTACTTATGACCACAGATAACTTAAGATTAAGACATATGTAATTTGTATATCACAATCGCAATTTGTTGTGTTTAACAAATTATTAAGATTTGAATTTACATACTCTATTATTTAATTTATTAGAATATTCACTCCATTATTTAAGTTATCAAAATATTTGTTTAATTAAATAATATATCTACCATAAATAAAATGCATCTATTATATATTAAAAGTGTCGGCGTCCAAAACGATTGGACCTTGAGCATAACACTTACAAAAGTGTACTTGCATATCAATTTCTTTGTGGCCTCATTTCTCAAGTCATTCTTCTGTAAATCCGAATTCTTATGTCTTGCAGTGGTTGACTTCAATGCTTTAATCGGATTGGATATATGCAACTTGCGAGTAAGTTCTTAATTCTACTCATATTCACGCTCGAGTTACAAGCAGCTTTTGGACTTACAGTACCTGAATCACTACCATCAACAGTCCAAACATATTTTGGCTCGATTCTATTTCCATAATATGGATGAGAAATTTGATAATTGAAGGAAAAGGATATATGGCTGTTGGAGCCTCTTGATGCTTGTTGATTTTGTCTACACTTTGCAGTCGAGGGTGGTCCACCCTGAACTGGACGACATAACATACATTTTGATGTATTCGCATACATGTGTGGATTGTGATCAAAGTTGTATTTAAATAAATTTACGCGCGTTAAATGTGCATGCATTGTGAACAATATTTTATTAAAGTTGCATCTCTTGATTTTTCTGCAACAGTCCGTCAGAATGGCTTAACCAAATAATGTGACCAGTAATAATAGGACAAAAGACAAAGAGGACCACGAGTTAGACGAGCACCTCTGATTAATCTCAACACTGTCTACGTACAGTTTATGTAGGCTCTGTCGCTTTTGGATTCTCTCCTTGCCAGCCTCACAAAATTTATCAACTTAAGCCAATAAAAAAAATAAAAAATTATTCATTTGTAATAATAATGAAAAATATAAAAATACAAACTTGTTTCCATAGTTCTCTATGACTTTGAGATTAGCTTATTGAGTTTTTCAAGGAATTATTATCTATCTCCAATTTCAATCGCTATGTACATATATAGTATGAAAACAGGTGCATAAACGTATATGTAAAAAGTAGTTGGCTCTCTTCCAGCACCAACAACAATATTAACACATACACACACACACTTGAAAGTGGGGCGTTGATAGTATGGTGGTGGACGCGGCAGTGGCAGTGGCGGAGCTGAGAGCAACCTTTGCGAGTGGCAAGACCAAGAGCTATGAATGGCGGGTATCTCAGTTTAAGGCAATTTTGAAACTAACCAATGAACATGAAAAGGATATAATTGAAGCTCTTCGTTCCGACCTCAATAAGCCGGAATATGAAGCCCTTCTCTACGAGGTCACATCATTTCATTCTCATTTTTACTTATAACTATGAGTGCGTATACACTTTCTAAATTTAAACAGAATCAAACTGCTAGTTTGAGCCTTTTGAACTCTTATATAACATTGAATCTTTGGTTAACTGACGTGTAATATTATTCTATCAACTTGTAACTTGATATCAGGTGAATGTTCAAAAGTTTAGCTAAAGTTTTGTTTATTCTTTCATCGAGTCGTATCCTATATTGTCTACTAAACATTTGATGGAAGTTTTTGGTGCAAAGTTGTACTTATGTTGGATCCCTTTTCCCTGGAAATTGAAGTTGTTATTTCTTTTCGGCTTTTCATTCTCTGTATCTGATTAATGTTATTCATGATGTAGATTTGTGGCGTGAAAAAATCAGCCAAGTTGGCATTGAAGGAATTACGTCGATGGATGACACCAGAAAAAGTAATTTTATAGAAATTTCAAAATTGTTCTCTTGATTATTAGTCGAATAAGGGCAAACTTGATGCTAACTGTTGTGTTTGATTGCAGGCAAAAACCTCATTGATCACATTTCCCTCGTCAGCTGAATTAGTTTCGGAACCCTTGGGTGTCATATTGGTCATATCAACTTGGAACTATCCTTTCTGTATGTTGATTATGTTTTTTTGTGATTTTTTTCTTGAGGGCACGTCTGATAAGTCGAAGACAATATTTTAGCTTTTTTTTTTTTTTTAATTTCTAAATATAGTCGAGTACTAATCAATCCACCTTACTATGTTCTTCTGATTCCTTTTTCCTCTAGTGTTATCTTTCGAAGCTATCATTGGAGCTATTGCAGCTGGTAATACCGTAGTGTTGAAGCCATCGGAAATTGCCCCTGCCACGTCCTCACTGCTTTCAAAACTTATCGGGGAATATATGGATTCTTCGGCCTTGAAAGTTGTAGAGGGTGCAGTGCCTGAAACAACTGCATTGCTTGAGCAAAAATGGGACAAAATAATTTATACAGGTATTAATGAATCCAATCATTCACGTACTTTTTACAACTTAGCGAATAGTTTTTTAATAGTTTGCATTAGGGAGTGAAAAGGTGGGACGCATTGTAGCTGCTGCTGCTGCAAAACATCTTACGCCCGTGATTTTGGAGCTTGGTGGAAAATGTCCAGTGATCGTCGATACAAAAATAAATTTAGAAGTAATGATTTCTTCTATTATCTGTATATTTCCACTTCCAAATTTTTATGGAGCTACAACCAGCATGTGCTGTTTGTTTTACTATCGATATTCTGTTTCTTCAAGGTTGCTGCACGACGGCTAATTTCAGGCAAGTGGGGCTGTAACAGCGGGCAAACCTGTGTTTCCCCTGATTACATATTAACTACAAAAGAGTTTGCTCCAAAGTTGGTAAGTTTTCCCCTTTTGATTGAAGATTTACATGCCCAACCACCTAAGCCGTTGTTCGTTAATTTATCCTCAATTCGGCGCCACCTCCACATGTTAAATTTCTCTGTATCGTTAACTTCTGATATTACTTTTCATCAGGTCGATGCTCTGGTATGGGAACTGGAGAAGTTCTATGGGAAGGAACCACTGAAATCACCAGACCTATCACGCATTGTAAATTCCAGCCACTTCAATCGCTTGACAAAGTTAATGGACAACGAGAAAGTTTCTGGTAAGATAGTTCATGGAGGTCAAAGAGATAAAACCACTCTGTGAGTTCCGAAGCACAATTTTACACTCTTTACGTTCTTCAGCGTTAATCAATGTTGATTTTAACGTTTGTTGTTCTATCCTGGCAGAAAGATTGCTCCAACTATTCTTTTGGATGTTCCCGAAGATTCTCTGATCATGAACGAGGAGATATTTGGTCCTTTATTTCCCATCATCACGGTAACATTTTGGGTCCACCTGGTAACAAATTTGGCAGAACATCGTTAGTTGTAGTGATGTTATCTTTTCTTCTGTGAAGGTCGACAAAATTGAAGATAGTTTCAATGTGATCAATGCTAGAGAAAAGCCGCTTGCTGCTTATTTATTTACAAATGACAAAACGCTACAGGAGGAGTTCGTAGAAAGTGTATCAGCAGGGGGTTTGTCCATTAATGAAACGACTCTGCACGTAAGTGTTCTTCCTCGAGTTACAATCCTTACAAAAGTTTTTTGTACGCTTGAACACATGCCAAATATGGCACGTAGCGATTTTGCAGTACTTTTGATGTTTTTAATGATGATTGATTATTTTATCAAAAGGAAAAATGACTAATAGACGGCCATGATGGTGCAGAGTGCGACTCTCACTTTACCATTTGGAGGAGTAGGGGAAAGCGGAATGGGATCATACCATGGGAAATACTCTTTTGATGCTTTCAGCCATAAGAAGCCTGTTTTACGACGCAGTTTTGTTGGGGAGGTAGCTGCAAGGTACCCACCCTACACACCCAAGAAACAGCGATTTCTTCAGGCTTTTCTAGATGGAAATATAATTGACATATTCCGAGCTTTATTTGGTTGGTAATAGGTCTAAAGTATGTTCGTGCTTTGTAGACATAGAAAATAATAATGTAATGAGTGACTAATTGATGTGTAATGCCTTGAGAGATAATGAAACTACTTTAGAAAAGATTAATTGTCAAAATTCGCAGGATCGGACCAAGAATTTTTGTTCCTTTTCGATTTTCCAGGATTCACCTACATTTGATTCAATTTTTGCCATGTATTTGTCCTAAAAAAGCTTGTATGTGTTTGCCTTGTCTCAATGAAAAAACCATTTTACCGATTATGGGTGTTCGAAGGCTGAACGTTTTTACTTCGCGAGTAGATCATTGCAGTATATTTAATTGCTAAACACCAATTTTGAGTGAATGGGAAATTAAGTCAAAAAATGAGCCATTTAAAACATAGAAATTCTTGAAAAAGTAATTAGCGTATGATAGAATATTCTAAATAGATCGTGACACGTGTCCGTCATATCTTTTCTTCTAGAATATGTGCAAAAGAGAGAGTGATAGTCTTTTTAGTTAAATGTGACTCTCATAGGAGCATGTTCCGTGATATCTTTTCTTCTAGAATATGTTCAAAAGAGAGAGTGATAGTCTTTTTAGTCAAACGTGACTCTTCCGGTAGCATGTTCTTCCCAATAACACATTCTTTTCCTATACAACTTTTCGTTTATTATATATAGACTACATATGATTGTACAGCATGTACTTTCTGCATATATCGTTAATGAAGCATTCATTAAATGTCCAGTTCCATTAAAAGAGAGTACAAAATACTGTTTGATTTGTTCATCTTGAGATTTGTAGTGCTACTATCTCGGCTCGGGAAGTTACATCGCAGGCAATTTCGTCTTACATAGAGAGTCTAACTCTTTCCTCAACTGTGTTCATTTCTTGCATTTCTTGTTTCTGTATTTTTGTAAGTTGTTGCTGTGCACGTTAAATGTTAGTAAAACTAGAATACAGTTTGAACTATTCCGTCCAATTTTTCTACAATTGTTATTTCGGACAAACAGCTGGAGATCTGGGTGGTGGACATCAAAGTCGCACGAAAAGTTGTTCTATGATGGAGAAAACTCGACTCTCCAAGTACAAGAAAAATTAAATTTTACCTCAATTTTACAAATTTATAAATTATTTATAAAGAGGAATATTAGTGAATCCCATGAAAATAATAAATGAGTAGTAGTTATGAATGTATAATTTAAATTAATATTTGACTTTGACTCAATTTATAAAACATTTATAGACTGGTTGTCAAATGGAGGCTCAGTTTGAGAAAATTCCGTGAACTCGTTAAACAGGAAAACAATTATAGTTCGATAAACAACGTTAAACAGGAACACACTCATGGTACGAATTACCACTATTATTATAAAGTTTTGAGGTTTGGCGAATTTCGCCAAACAATAAGAAAATAAAATATTTGTAAAATGCTCAAGATATTTATAGGATTTAAATTAAGAAATAAATAATTGGACGTAATGAGATTTTTGGGAATTGAATAAATACGGCTATGGTGATAAAATATGCAGCCTTGATTTGGAGTTCGTTGCCACTTCTGTTAAAATCTTATATTTTGATACAATTGGACAAAAACATGAAGTGCCCATCGTCTTAGTTGAACTCTGTTCTAGATAGTTCTTGTACACTAGTAACAAATTCTGTTCACCACAAAAAAATGTGCTCTTTCACTTTCATAGGAAATATTTATTTACTTATTTAGACGACTTTGAGACACTCTATAATGTCAATATTGACTCTATGTATCAAGATTTTTAAGTATTTTAAGAAAATAAAGTAATCTCGAATCGAAGAGATGATTTGACCACTCGAAAAAAGTATTTATGTATAAACCATAGCGTCATTCCCATAAATTCACAACTTAATTGTTTACCATTTTTTTTTTTTTTTTCGAATCGAAGAGATGATTTAAAAAACAAAACTTGCTACACTTCTCACTCGATCTTGAATGCTATCGCTTCTTAATTTTAACATTTTTCTGAGCTATGCGCCGAACCTATTCTCTCACGTTCATATGAATTTGACTTTGGAATTTGAGATACGCGTTAATGTCAACATAACTTCACAAATCAATATTTCTCATTTACTAAAAAAATTGGAGAAATTAAGTTTTTAAGCACAATCAAAGGCTTGTAAAAAGTGGAAATTACATAAAACTAGAATTTTAAATATTCAATTTCAAAAATCAGATTAAAAGTTTCACTTTTCAAAAATCAGATATTTTATTTTAAATATTAAATATTAATTGTATAATTTTCATCCCAAACCCTAATTAATTTCATTACAATTTTCCTCCCACTTCTCTCTTCTCTCTGTCACTCTCTCCTCTCACCGTTACTCTCTCTACCTTCTCTCTTTTCCACTCTCCACTCTCCTCCCTCTTCGCCGACAACCCAGCCTCCACAAGACGGAGGGAGCAACTCTGCTTGACGGTGATGCTTCCGTAGCTGGCTTCATGAGGGGGGTTATGGAGGTAGAGGCCGTGGTGGATGCTATGACCGCTGTGAGGGATGTTTCTCTGCCACAAACTCATCTTTTCGCCGTCCCCACGCCCGCCGTCGTGCACATTACCGGTGATGATAGAAGGCCGCTTCTATCGTCTCTAGCCGCTCGATGCTGCTGTTATCTGTGCGTGGATAGGTGGTAGGGGCTTGTTCGATTGGTCAATTGTGATGTTGGATGTTTTGATCGGCCGATCAAGATGTTGGATGTTTCAATTAGCTGCGGGAATTGATGTTGTTGATCATAGTTTTGAGTCGGCAGGTAAGGAACTTTGTAGATAGAGAGGCTAACGCTAATTGGTCGATTGTGCTATTGATTTGAGGGGTTGGAGCTGCATATCTTTGGTCTGCCATTGTGGTGTTGTAGGTACGGTTATGGTGATGTGTGTTGTGGATGCGATGCCATGTACGGTGTTTTGGTTGGGTGCAGTGCTGTGTCTGGTGATTGTGTGAGTTGGTTGTGCAGTGATATGTGTTGTAGGTACGGTGTGCTATGTGCAGTGGTGTTGCGGTGCAGTGGTGCTCGGCGTTATGCTGACCAATTGTCGTGAGGTGGTGGTGTGACGGTGGTCGTGAGGTGGTGGTTCTGGTGGTGGCGGTGCTTATGGGAGTGGTGAGGTGGTATTTTCAAGTGTTGGTTGTGGTCACGGATTAGTTGGTTGTTTGTGACCATTAAATTGATTAATATGTGATCGATAAACAATATACGACCAATAAGAAAGATAAATTGTGACTAAGAAATAATGTGTGACCTAAAAAATTGTTAATTTGTGATCGATAACTTGACAATTTGTGATTATCTACTAAGTTTTGACTTATAATATTTGTGATTTGTGACTGAGAAATAAGTTGTGACGTATAAATTTTTTTTACTTATGATCGATGAACAAATTGTGATTTATAAAATTTTTGAATTGTGATCGTAAAATAATTTATGACATATAAAATTTCGGATTTATGACTGATTAATAAATTGTGACATATAAATTTTTTGAATTGTGACTGTAAAATAATTTGTGACATCTCAATTTTTTATTTGTGACCGATGAACAAATAAATTTTTTTTGAATTGTGACCGTAAATTTTTTAATTAATTAATTTATAAATAAAAATTAAAAAAATCCGAGATTTGAAATTTTAAACATTAAAAAATCTGAAAATTGAAATTTTTAACCTTATCTCTTAAATTTGAAATTGGTGAAACTTAACCTCTTAGTTATGAAAATTTCCCTTATAAATGAATCTTTATGGGCTATAGTTCTCAATCAAAGTGCTATAGAGTGTACAAAAATTTCAGTGTCTAGAGATGTTGAAGTTGATGAAAATGCTATATGGAATTGGGAGGAAGCCAAGCCACAACAACATTATGTTCTTTTTCCAATTGTGCAGCAAAACACCCCTACTGCAATTCCTGAAATTCAACCACCTATGGTAGAGTCAAGCTCCTCGAATGATGGTCCATTTGAGTCTTCTTCTAGCTCTAGTCCACTTCCTAGAGGAACTAGACCTTTGAATGAAATTTATGAAAGATGCTATATGGCAATTGTTGAGCCAAATAGCTATGATGAAGTAGCTAAACATCCTGAATGGATTGAAGCTATAGGAGAGGAAATGAAGATGATTAAAAAAAAAAAAATCAGACTTGGATGTTGGTGCCAAGACCTACATACAAGAAAGTGATTGGAGTGA